GTGGCTTTGTGAGACACCAACCAGTGGTGGTCTAGTGGTTAGGACTCAGCGCTGCCACCACAGCCTGGGATCCATTCCTAGCTGGGGAACTAGATCTGAAATTATGGGAATTATATCAAATAGTAACTTGGTAATAGTTTTCTGATTGATAAAACTATCTCTACCTCCTCAGTTTTATTTTAAAATCATTATTAGAATGATCATGACTCACTCAATATCACACATTCACTAGTCATTTTGCAGCAAGTTCCATTTTCACTAATGATTCAAGAGATATATAATTGTACCACTCCATGAGGAATTCTGTCCACAAAGCATTTCCTCAAAATATCATTCAAAAGATCTTTACACTACCATGTTGAGATATCCAGTTCAACTCTATAGTGTAAGAAGTATTATCTTTTTTTCAGCTATTAATTTTATTCATTCCCTGGTTATTGTGAGGAAAGAAAAAATTAAGTGAATTAAAGTAGATTTTTAAACCACAACATGAGAACTTGGAAAAAGAAGAATATCACAATTGCCAAGTCTGTAAGTTGCTTTAGGGTAGAAAGAAAAGGTAAGATAAAACAAGTTTTTAATATGTCTATAGTTATCTACTGCTGTGTAACAAAACTACCCTGGAATATAGGGTTAATTAACAATACACCTGGAGCTAACTGAATGTTTGACCAAGCAACATGCCCAAGAAGATTCATTTGTTTGGTGTACCAGCAATCTATTTATTGACTGAGCCCCAAATACACACATACACACACACACACATACACAACTATTAATGATAGTTGTCACTAGAGAGTCAGCTGGGGTTGCCAATGACAGTGGTTCATAGTTTGAGCTCCAGGAAAGTCCATAAGACCAGAGCAGTATATGCAAGACTTCTAATGACTTCACTGAGAAGTCTAAGAATGTCCCGCCAGTTGAGCAAATAAATAACTAAAGCCAAGGAATTTCAAAGGGGAGAGGAATAGAAAAAATATTGTGCTTACCTTAACTGCACTTAGCACACCATATTAGATTACATATGGTAGATATTTTTACATGGATACATTAATAAACTAGTATACTCATATGTTATTCTTTTCTCATTCATTTCCCCATTGATTCATTTATTTGTACACTAATATACATCAAATATCTTCTCTAGGCCCAGCTCTTCAGTGTTCTTTCTTAAAGTTTGAATGTATTATAAGACTGATCTATATGCTCCATGAGCTTTCAATAGTGTTGGAAAGTAAAATTCCTGTGTAATTCGACCTAAAACAATACAGCAGACTACAAAGTGTTAAGTTGAACAGAGTGAAGTGCCAACGTGCATAAGAGTGTGGTGAGACCAACAGCAGATCCCTGGAGCCTGTGTTTCATTTACCAACACTGAAACAAAATAAAAACTCAGTATCTAATTGAAAAAAAAAAAGTCTGGTTGCTAAAATATTTCAGAACAGGCATCCATCATTTTTGCATGTCATAGTCATGTCAAGAAGTTCCAAGAGAAATTATTTCTGTGAAAACATTGATTTTCTTCCCTTTCTTAAAGTTGTGCCACCTCTCAATCAACAAATAAGAGAACTATTGTGATTGGAAGTGTCTCTTGTATACATTGGTGTCCAAACCACATCCAATTTTTGGCAGAGTCATATTTTATCGACTTTATCATTTTTTACTCAAAAGCCTGAAGGGACTAAGAATCACTATATTGGATATCAACAATTTTAAAGATGTAGGAAAAACAAACTGCAATATATACCCAAAGACAGAATTCCAAACATCAATGGTCTTTTTTTTTTTTAAAGTAAAGAGACTAGAACAAAAAATGACAAAGAAGCTATTTAGTTTTGCAAGGGTCATTATTTTCTTTACACATATCCTAGAGAGTAATTAAATTCTAAGCAGCATTAGAGTTCTTTCTCACATCAGATAAAGAGACTGGAAAAAAATCCTATCATATGATTTGCTTCTAAGTGAGGAGATAAAAGAAAATTGTAAAATGAGAGTCTCACCTGAGACCCTGATAGAAATAGGGCTTCTCTGAATGAAGATCAGGAAATCATTCTCTACTAAAGAGGCAAGCTGAATTCCACTCAGGGAATTTGCTCTAGGTAACAGTTGTAAGGAAGACACATTAGCATTTAAAGAAGCCCTTTCCATACAGTGCAGAATGTCACCAAAGAATGGTTCAATTCTGCTACAAACTCCTGTGAGTCATGATTATGAAGAAAACAATTTTCCAATAAACTAGAGTAACACACTGAGCTCCCCAAATGTATCAGAAACATAAGCCAACCTCAGACAAATGCACAGAAGGAGTCTTCTTCCTTCCTCCCACCTTTCATGTCTACCTATTCCCTACCTTCCAAATATCTTAAAGTACCAAATTCATTTTGAAACAGTACAACAGTCATTCATTATGTATTTCCCTTCATCATTAAAGATGGCACTATTATCAGAAATAAAGCTGGAATGCTGGCTTCAAACATTCATTCAAATTCTAATTAAATTACTTTGCAGAAACCTATTTGAAACAATTAACTAATGGAGTCAATAGTAATCAGAGATTACATACACTGAATTTTCATGCAACCCAGAATTATGAATAGGTTGCACAATATAACAAAAGGGATTATTTAGGAAGCATTGCAAAAATAGATTTTTTCTCCTTTATACTGATTTTTATAGTGAATGTTAATTTCAGATGATCCAAATATTGTGAATGTGTCTCAGGCCTCTGGGGGGAATATATAATTGCAAGATTTAGATGGAAAGAGAACTGGATAGGTAAGCTGAAGATGTGCTTAAAGAAGAATGGAAGCAGCATGGTTTATGGAAATCAAGAATGTTATTGTGGCATAATGACATTTGTCAAGAAGGAATTTTCCTTGCTCCTGTCACAATAAAACCAAAGACTGTATAGGTACTTTGGAGTAACCCATGCTCCCAATCAAAGAGGTGGCAGAACTGAATTGATTATTCAATTTTATTTTCATGTGATGAAGAAAAGGTGATCAATTCTTTCCTTCATTTTTTGGAACTCTCTAATACTTACTCAGTCTAGTATTTTAAGCCATGTCAGACTGGCTGTATAAGAATTGAGGAAAAGAGAAGACATTTTTTAAAATGTAAATGTTAATCAGCAACTCTTCCTGGAAGAATGAGTTTTGAACCAGATTAATGAAAATGCAGAGGATCATAAATAAAAAAAATAAGAGGACATTTTCAGGAAGGACATCAAAATGAAAAACAAGGATGCAAATCTATTTGGGACAAGTTCAAGGCACTTATGATAGCCTGAAATAATATCTCATAATGATCTAAGTGTCTTAGCACAAACTTTTGTTAGCATAGAATTTTCTCCATTGTCACAGTTCTATAAAATTCTAAGGGTTATTTGGTGTGCTTTTTTTCATTCTTTTCTATAAGATAGATAAATGGAGAAAAGGAGGGAGTGAGAGAGATATAGTGTGAAGGACACCATTCTCTTGTATACACGTTTATTTTTTTGAAATACTTTGTATGTAATGCATTTCTAGATATTTTCCATTATGCTTATTGCTATCACTGTTATATTCTGTGATTAAGTGGTCAAGTATTTCTTTGCTCTAACTAGTTCTTCAAGTAAATGTCACTAACATTTTGAATATAAATACAGCTCTCTGTGTGGAGATTCCTCAATCTGCTAAAGATCGAGTTTCCAGGGCCTCCCCAGTGATGCATCAGGTTGAGCACAGCTGTCCACAGCCTCTGCAGCATGGGTTCAAAGCCTGGCCAGCCAGGGAGATTCCCACATGGCATGGCAGACCTCTCCTGTCTCTCCCGCTGCTCCCCTCAGCAGTGTATTTCGGTCATCTGCCTATTCTGTTCCCCACTCCGTCTCTGGTGAATCCTCTCAGCCCCCACAACTGTACCCCAGCTCTTGTATAAAAATAGATAAATCTTAAAAAAATAAAAGATGGAGCTTCCATATGATCCAGCAATTTCACTCCTAGGTATTTATCCAAAGGACACAGAAACATTAATCCAAAAGGGCACCTGCACCCCTATGTTTCTAGCAGCATTATTTACAATAGCTAAGCTATGGAAACAACCCAAATGCCCAAAAATAGATGACTGGATCACAAAGATGTGGTACATATACACAATGGGATATTACTCAGCAATCAAGAAAGACAAACTCATGCAATTTGCAGCAACATAGATGGAGCTGGAAGGGATCATGCTCAGTGAAATAAGCCAGAAAGAAAAAGAAAAATACAGGCTGGTCTCACTCATAGCAGGAATTTAGAAAACCTAAATAAGGGACCAGGAAAAAGACTAATTATAATAAAGTAAAAATCAAAATCAACAAACAACTATAAACCAGAGACACACTACAGGGGCGGGAGAAGGGAGTAAGATCAAAACAAGGGGGTGGGAATTGCACGGGACTATAACCAAGATGAAAATGCACACATTGTGCAAAAACTGAAAAATGACGTAAAAATATATAAAATAAAATAAATTTAAAAAACTGAATAATTACTAATTTGAATGAAAAAATAAATAAATAAATAAATAAATATAGCTACACTTTAGGAATTTTTCTACCTCATTTCTCTGAATTATTCTTTAATTACAGATACACCTGGACTCCTGAGAATTGAGCATCCTTAAAGAGACAACAGTAAATTAAAGATTCCATTTGATACTTTTGCC